TATCATTTATTTATTAAAATAAATCCTTTTTATTTTATTCACCCTTATTAAATAATAAAAATGCTCATAAAAATCTCTTTTCCTAAATAACTTGAAATTTAATAATAACCTTTTTATTTATCTTTTTAAAACTATTCCACCTAATTTAATAGTAAAACAACCTTTATAATTAATTAGCTTTCATCTTTATAATAATGACTAAGTGTATTTTATTTAATAATAAAAGGACTTATTTCACAACTAAAAATAACTTTCAAAACAAATAATAAACACTCCTGTTTTATTCAAACTTAAACTTTATCTCAAATTTATATTAACTAAAATCTTTTCTATTAAAAAATCTAACCATCATTTTAAAACCTAAAATAAAACTTTCACTAATCGAATCTAATACAACCTTTTTATAATTAATAAAAACAATCTCACTAAAACAATATATTTTCTTATAAATCATTTCGCCTAAAAATCAATATCCCAACTCAATCCATCGTGCACGCTAGCGTCTCCGCTCCGACTCCATTCACTTTCACTCACTTGCACCTTAGCGCTTTCATGCGTCTGTGTATGGTTTTATTTATCTGCCTTTATTTGCCGCCATTTATCATTTTCGCATTTATTTTATCGCAATGCATAGCGTCTAAAGGAAGAACCTGCGCATAACTTAAGCAATCGTGCGTATGCATATCATTTGCATCATACTCCCCATGATCCTTGATCCCATTCAAGTCAATCTTCTAAGTTTAGATCCTACCCCATAAGGAGGACCTTTTATCTTTACAACATAGGAAAACAATTCAACAACTCAATTCAAACTATTCAAACATATTAGAGAATAAGATGTTAATCATCTTAAGCGAGATAAAACTCCTACCCCATAACAATTCAATCAATATGTAGGGACTTTGCCTTAAGATAGATAGTGTCATACTTGTCGATTAAATTCCGAGTACTTGAGCCATTCTCTTAAGACGATGCAAAGACTATTTTCCTACAAAGTTGTGGTGGTTAAATCAAGTAATCTCCCTTAAAATGACAACTCATCTTTTCTCCTAAAATCAATCAACTACCTTTATCCCGTAGGAACTTTGACCATAGTCAAAGAACTCCTCAAACCCTTTAGGGGAACTATAGATACTCTGATTCCACTCCTGTAAGGATATGTAGGCATAAGATGCGATATCTTATCGAGTATACTTAGAAATAAACCCCTAGGTCTTTTAACCCTTAAGCAGATAAATCTTAGCAATAAAACAGACATAAAACAAGAGGTTCCTGTAGAGTACTACAAAAACTTAGGATGCTAGCACCTTCCCTAAGTTTAACCAACCCCCGAACCTAAACTCTTTAGCTTGCATTTGCATTGCATTGTGGGTATTTCGATCTTTTTCCCTTCCTTTGGACAAATTAAAGTTCGGTTGCAAATGAATTAGATTCAAGTTAATCAATAGCTTGGTATCCAAATTTCACCGCGACAGCTGCAAAACAAACTAACTCAGAATCTAAACACCAATTTTGATTCTGAAACTCTGTTCAAAAGCTAAATTAAAAGAAAATGCGAAACACAGTTCAACCCCCATTTCTTGTGTGATTTTCACACTTTCAAATGGATCCAATTGAAGTAAAAAAAAAAAAACCAAAAATCACAAAAATAAGTCTTCTTATATAAAATACCTGAGGCAAACATGGTTGGGCCATTTCAGCTTGGACCAACCCATATTGAAATTTGTCTATAAAAATACTTAGGGAATTTTTCAATGCACCATATGTATTACTATGGCACCACGTGAAAGTACAAAAAAAACCCTTAATTTCTAGAGATGCATCTTCATACGCACCATGAGTAAATAGAATTTTGACTTAACATTAAAAAACTCGAAAGATGCATCTTCGTAATTATTTCGGAGATGCATCTCTGGATGGTATTGGTTCTATATCGCGCCAGAACTATTCTCCTTCCTCATTTCTAAAAAAACACAAAACTTTCTCAAACTCTCTCAAAGGTTCTTCTATCAACCAAGTTCAAAATTAATTAACAAAGTTCAAAGGTTCTTCTGTCAACATCAAATACATCAGAGGCATCATTTAACACTGAAGTAAACTCTCAGTTTGTAAGTTTTTTGTGTTTTGAAAAGTTTTTTGAATTTTTGTATAAATGGATATAAGTTGATGATTTATGTAAGAAATGAGTAGACATTGTATGAATGATAGTTTATATATACTGTAGAACATGTTTGATGGTTAAAAATAACGACCAAACCATTATTTTTGGGGTTTGGTGGTATGCATTATCGCCATTGATGGACCTGAAAAGTTGCAAAAATTTCCCAAGTTACATCTCCATTATTTTTTAATGTTTGGATTGCTAGTAACCAGAGATACATCTTCATAAATTATCAATCATTTTCTCTTTTGTTTTCTTACTTATACTAATTATCTAGTTTATTTAAAGGCATTATGGATGATAGAGACGAAATGACTAAGACACACGAGGATTGCAAAACATGCATCAGTCTGGAGGGAGAAGAGTCATATTTTGAAGGCTCATGTTCATGCAGAGAGATCGACTTATGGGGCTCATGCTTCTCCATATTCTTTTTCCTGTAGGAGACAAGTGTGACCTACTGACGTTTCACTATCTTCATCCTTTCGCAGGCGACAGGTTTCACCTATTCAGGCGCTAGTGGTACCCGAGTCACCAATGGTACCTTAGGCACTAGTGACACCCCAGGTATCGATGGACTTCATGCTGATGAGCTAGTGCCACCTTCGATTGATGAGGCTGTTGAGCCAGGGTCATCTCAGGCTGTTGAAGGTTATGAGCCAGTGCCACCTCAGGATTTTGGAGCAGACCCTGTAGAGTTGTCACTACTACCTTTGTATCTAGACTATATTGCCATACATATCTGGAACGAAGAGGTAAAATTAGTTGGATTCATTTTTTTAAAATTATGTTTATTATTATATTACAAGTTTTTGAAATTGATCTATCTTTTTTTGTAGAATCGTGATCCGCTAAAGTTTATTAACCATGGGCGAAAGATTATTGGCTTTCCTCAGCCGAATTAGGAGTGGTTTCAGGTAGCTTTGTGTCTATCTGGGATAAAGGACTCGTGCATGGCCGGTTATATTACGGTTCAACTACACTAAAACTATTCCCAAACACCTTGTTGTCTATACTCTTCCTGCTTTGACACATAAAGATATGAATGTTATGTTTGATGATTATCTTAATTATCTGGTACCAGAGGAGGCATATAGTACCATAGTTGAGAGCGATTGGAGCTATGTTGAAGGGTACGTCAGGTGGTTCTTCAGGTTGTCACATTCGTATATGGTGCATGATGTTATAGGAGATCCATCAATGCCAACTCATCAGGAGATACTAGACGAGGAGCAAGCACAATTAGATCATGCTCATGATGTCTTGCCTAAATATTATCCTATAGAGCAGATTGCGCAGACAGGAATTGACAGAGGTATCTTCCCTAATAGGTCTCAGGTGAGACATATCCTTAATGGGTCTCAGAGGTATCCTATGACGGAGGCATTGTTGTACCAGATACAAAGAGGTCGGGGAGCACGAGGACCCTGAGGAGCTGTAGTTTAACATACACATTATTATATAGTAGTTGTACTTTGGATTCATTAAGGATTGTATTTTATTTTCACTTTATTTTACTTTATCGTGTATTTCGACTTTATTTATATATGTCATTTTTTGACAATCCGGATTTATATGTCATTTTTTGCATATAGATTGTATGCTTTAATACTCATCAGATAACATAGTCCTTAACCTTTATAAATCATCATCTTCATCTGAATAACCATAAACAAAACATAACTAGCACAGTTCTGGTAGATTACGAAGATGTATCTTTGTAAACCCTAAACAAAGATACCTCTCAAAAGCAATAAACGTGTAAAGTGAACCTTTCATAATGAGATGCATGATGTATGTTTTAACATTTTAGCTTTAACAAGATACGTTCGAAGATTTATCTCTTGATTAATTAACGTTTTGACTTTAACAAGATACGTCCGGAGATATATCTCCGAAATTTAAGAGACATTTTCAATTGTTTTTCTATAATTTGAGATAAGAAAATTTCAATCCTCGTATATAAATAAACTTAGAGCACCCAAAAAAAAAAAATTGAATGCAAATGCATTTTTCACTTAGTTTCTATTATTAAAAAGAAAATAACTTTTTTAGATGAAGTGCGTTTTGTCTCTCTTTAAGTCCCCAACAGACATAATAGCGTCATTGACTGAAGTCCTAACCAATTACCCAACGGAGAGTGGCCCACCAAGATTATTAATTTTGACTCCTTTTACTGCAAATCTCCACATCTTAGAAATTTGTTAGACTAATTATTCATTTCTGGTAAAGTACCAAAATGCTAAAAAAACAATTTTTGTTTTCCGAAACAACAACAACCAATGTTAAACAAAAGGAATAAGGAAAAGAACAAAGACAATAGAAGCTTCGGTTTCAGATTTGCTGTCATACCCAGCTATGTGAGTTTCGCTTTCCCTCTTTCAACCCTTAAACTCCTAACTACACTTTCACCTTTTCCGATTTTCACATCCATCTTTGTAACTCTTTCCTTTCTGATTTCCTTTTTTGTTCTTGTTTACTCATTCGATTCCCCCTTTATGTTCTTTGTTTTTTTACAATTATTTTTGCACTTTACTTTTTTGGATTTTATGTTTTATTAAGCTTTCTAGCTCAACTTTCCTTTTTAGAATTCGACTTTTCTGACAGAACATAAACGCTTCCATTATGTTCTAGTATTTAGAACCAAGATGTAACATATATATTAATGTTGTGTTTTGTTCTGCTTTTATAGCTAACCAAACATAATAAATTTGTTTATTTTTATACAGCGTTATTTCTTATTGATCAGTTTTCATTCCTTGATGTTTTTTACACTGCAGTGTTGAAGATTTCGGATATGATAATTGATTGTCATGGTCATTGAAGCCAGCAAGTAGATATGGACTTCTTATTTGTATTGTTGTTGTTGGGTTGCTTCTGTTCTTTTGTGTTGTCTGATCAGCAAGGTACAATCTTATATTTTGATGCCACCGAACTCATTCAAATAGAATTTAGCCTAGTTTTATGAAAGTTGCAGTGTTTTTCTAGCTGGTGTGTAATGATTTTGTTCATTTCAGGAGATGCACTGATTGCATTGAAGTTTTCACTGAATGCTTCAGGTCAACAGCTTACTGACTGGAATGAAAATCAAGTCAACCCTTGTACTTGGTCACGTATTAACTGTAATCAAAACAACAATGTTTTTGAAGTGTAAGATATTCTCTAATAACTTTTTTTAAAAATGTTTGATCTGCAGAAGGTGTTGAAATCTTTCATTGCCTTCATTGTTTATGGGAAATTATATATCCATGCTATATATTTCGCACTTTTGTATCTCCGGTTTGTGCATGCCATGTAATTTTGCAAATTGCTTTGTTGTAGTTCATTGGCGATGATGGGATTCACAGGATACTTGACCCCTAGGATAGGAGCTCTGAAATATCTCAAATTTCTGTAAGTATTTATATCACAAAATATCCCCGCAATTCAGGTCAATTCCATATATTTAATAATATGTTTGGTATTCTGTTAAATATTCACCATTAACAGAAAAAGCAATATTTTAAGTGTAACCATTCATATGAAAATTGCAGTTCTTTGCAAGGAAATGGCATTACTGGTGACATACCAAAAGAATTCGGAAACCTGACAAGCTTGGTCAGGTTGGATTTGGAGAACAACAGATTAACTGGTGAAATACCGTCTTCCCTTGGTAATCTTAAAAAGCTCCAATTCTTGTAAGTATGGCATACTGTTTGACAGGTTTCACAGATGTATAATGCGTCTTAGCACATGTTTTTATTGTGTTATAATGTTTAAAAGTGTCATCTTTTGTTTGTTACCAGGACATTGGGTCAAAACAATCTCACTGGGACTATTCCTGAATCCCTTGCCAGTATTTCAAGCTTGACCGAAATGTATGTGAAATAATAGTTTCTGGAAGTTTACAGGTCACTTTCTAAGTATATTCCATCAATTAAGTATTTGACTGATCGCCCAATCTTCTCTTTTGCAGTCAGCTAGATTCAAATAGTCTCAGCGGCCAAATTCCTCAGAAGTTATTTGAAATTTCTAAATACAAGTATGAATGGTAGAATAATATTTAAATGATCATTTAAAATACCATTTGTGTTCCACTTTTTTAACTGTCCGCTCGTTATTGCAGTTTCAGTGGAAATAATTTGAATTGTGGTGTGAATTATGCTCAACCTTGCACATATAATAATTCAGAACAAGGTAATTTGACGCGAATATTTTGTTGGTCTTGTTCTATGATGTGTTGTTAATTGTTATCCACAACTTTCTCTCTTCTCGATGCTACAATCTGAATTCAAATTTACACGGCAGGTTCATCACACAAACCAACAGGCCTCATAATCGGAATTACCATAGCACTTGTAGCTATCCTTGTTATTGGTGCTCTCCTATTATTTTGGTGCAAGGGTAGACACAAGGGCTACAAGCGTGAAGTTTTTGTAGATGTTGCAGGTTTGAGTCTCTTGTTGATTCTAATACTCTATTTAATCATCACTATTTTTTTCTTGTCTCATCAGGTGAATTTTGATTTACGTGCAGCCAATTAGCGACTCTAATGCTAACTATTTTATGCTCATAATTTTTTATTGTTTCATTAGGTGAAGTTGATCGGCGAATTGCATTTGGGCAATTAAGAAGATTTGCATGGAGAGAACTACAAATAGCTACCGACAACTTCAGTGAGAAAAATGTTTTAGGACAGGGAGGCTTTGGAAAGGTTTATAAAGGCGTCCTTTCGGATAACACAAAAGTTGCTGTTAAAAGGTTAACTGATTATGAAAGCCCTGGGGGAGATGTAGCTTTCCAGCGTGAAGTTGAGATGATAAGCGTAGCAGTTCATCGGAACTTGTTACGGCTGATTGGATATTGTACTACTCCAACCGAACGCCTTTTAGTTTATCCCTTCATGCAGAACTTAAGTCTCGCGTATCGTCTACGAGGTATTAAGTTACAATGCATACTGGAATCATCACTAGTATTCTAAGCATTCAATTTGATTTCTATAGAAAAAAGATAGTATTACTTAACTGCGTGAATACTAATGCAGAACTCAAACCCGGGGAACTTGTTTTGGGTTGGCCAACAAGAAAACAGGTAGCTCTGGGAACTGCACGGGGCCTAGAATATCTTCACGAGCATTGCAATCCTAAAATTATTCATCGGGACGTGAAGGCAGCTAATGTATTACTCGACGAAGATTTTGAAGCAGTTGTCGGCGACTTTGGTTTGGCAAAGTTAGTAGATGTTCGAAAGACTAACGTGACAACTCAAGTTCGTGGGACAATGGGCCATATAGCTCCTGAATATTTATCGACCGGAAAGTCCTCAGAAAGGACTGATGTTTTTGGCTACGGGATTATGCTTCTGGAGCTTGTTACAGGCCAACGCGCAATTGACTTCTCACGTTTGGAAGAGGAAGATGATGTGCTGTTACTTGACCATGTAAGATCTCTTTTCATATTTTAAAGAAAATGATCTGCATCATCATTTATCAGTTAATAATTGTCAGTGACTGTTTTTATATGTCGTGTTTTATAGGTTAAGAAATTGGAGCGGGAGAAAAGACTAGAAGTTATTGTTGATCGCAACCTAAATAAAAACTACAACATACAAGAGGTAGAAATGATGATAAAAGTTGCGTTACTGTGCACTCAAGCAACGCCGGAAGACCGTCCACTAATGTCGGAGGTTGTAAGAATGCTAGAAGGCGAAGGGTTGGCTGAAAGGTGGGAAGAATGGCAACACGTGGAGGTGAACCGGAGACAAGAATACGAGAGACTACAAAGAAGATTTGATTGGGGAGAAGATTCGGTATATAATCAAGATGCCATTGAGTTGTCTGGTGGCAGATAAGAAGATTGCATAGATTTGAACCAATTATCCTTTTTTTGATAGGTTAGCTTGAATGAATAGAGATGAGAATTTGATTGCATCTCAACTGGAAGAAAGAGGAAGACGAGGAGTCATAGTTTTGAGGTTTTTACTTATGGTGTCGTGTTATGCAAGTTTCCAAACAATGGTTGATGCACATAAATTTGTTCACAAGATATGTACCTCAGCTAAAGCTCGAAACTGAGGAACATTATTGGTTTCATATTCAGTATTTTCATCTATACATGTATGAGCCTTCTATTATTCAAAAGAAATGAAGAGGGTACTAACTTGCAATTAGCTTTCTATGGTCAATGTGTTATTCTCTTTAATTAAAATTTTGATGACTTAGTTCTCTCTTTTTTCTTTATTCAAAGTAAGTTTATCTTATAATTTCTACTTATATTTAACAATAGCAAAGCTTTTGAATACATTCAGTATTTTGTCTTAGATCGATCTTCAACGCTTTGGCTTTAATTAGGATCTCAAAATCTTGATTTTAGAAGTGTTTTAGATATTATGGGATCTATTTGCTCACTGGATAATGCTTTACCTATATGAAGTGCAACTTTACATTGATTTTGCTCACTGGTTAATGCTTTGCCTATATGAAGTGAGATTTTACATTGATGGTTAAGGTTGGCGATGAAAGAATCTATATGGTGTACTAATTTTTATACCTGTATCCTTTGATACCTAAGTCAGTGCACATATCTGCTTCCCTAAACAAATACAATAAATTGTTTAATTAAAAAAATATCATGTTGTTCTGAATTGGCTCAATAGTTGGGCATTGCCCAATCCACTTCTGCTCCCAGAACGGCCAAATTGTCTAGGTCCAACATCTTTGGTGGAGAGTTTATCTTTCTGCCCCTCATACAGGGGAGGCTAACCAATTTTCCCTTGGCCTGAAGCTCCTCTTTCCGTCAGTCTCTGCCCGTCATGAACGGTTCCACCATCCAGAAACACCCAAGACGCTTGTGTCCGTAACCGTACTCTACCCGTCCCAACGGTTAGTTATGGGCACGTCTGCCCGTCCCAACGACTATTTCTGGCAGTTACCTATTCTTCGGGAAACGATTGTTTCGCCCTGAAAATAGGGATCAATGGCCAAGCACTAGGGGCATTATAAAAACCCTCTCATTTGAGAGGACCATGTATCCAATTTCTCACCTTGAAACACACATATTCTGTACTTACTCGCTCTCTTGCTCGTTTTCTTACTTTAACATCGGAGTGCCTTGCAGGTACACCCTCTCCTCCTCTTTTATATTCAGCATCACAGACGTTTGTCATTGGCCCATTTCAGATTCTGATCGTTCGGTAAAATCACATGTTATTCAAAAATTTTGTAACAACATTAAGAATAAATTTAAAAACTTTATTGTTGAATTATGAAATAACCGAATATTTATATTAAAATGCATAATAATTTATAGTAATGTATTTTATAAAAGTGATAGAGATATAATTTGATATAATAATAAAAATAAAAATATATAAACATACACTGTCAGAATACGAAACAGAATAGATACTAAAATACTTTTAATTTAAATTTGCTTTATTGTTTTATTTTTATTGGATTAAACTCAATGTTTTCCAAATCTTTTGTATGATTCTTTTTATTTTAATCTATTTTGGATATTACTTATAAAGATAATGACTAATTATTTGTGTTTGTCTCTACTCGTTTTGCATTTTACACATTTTTATCTTATAACTATTTTTTTGCAAGAGCTATGCTATCTTTACACTGTTTTCACATGAGTTGGGGTTTTCTTAAATACATGATGAGAAGAATGTGGTTTGGAGATCTTTGGTTGAAGTGGATGGAGTCAACGGTATTCTCTAGTTTCATGTCAGTTTTAGTAAATGGTAGCCCGACGAAAGAGTTTAAGGTGGGAAGGGGTCTTAGATAGGGACATCCACTTTCTTCATTTTCGTTCGCCATTGTTGCGAAAGGTCTATCCGGTTCGGTTAGAAGGTCTATTTGTAATGGAGAATTCACTAGTTTTCATGTAAAGGAAATTGCATGGTCGACATTCTCCAATTTGCCGATGATACGCTGTTAGTAGGAGACGGTAGCTGGAAACATCTATGAGTTCTTAAATCTGTTTTTAGAGGATTTGAAGCGATTTCGAGTCTTGGAGTCTAAAGGTGAGAAATATACACAAGAAGACGGTGTGGGGGGGGGGGTTGAATTGTGTTCACCAAAAACGTTTCTTCTTCTGAACAAAGTTCAGAATCTGATAACAAGTGCAGCGAAAAATATATCAGAAGTAAACCAAACCAAACAATGAGCACATCAAATTTATATTGGTTCCTCCCAAACTGAGAGTACTCCAGTCCCCTTGCAGCACAAGAGATTTTCCACTATAATCAACACATGATTACAACAACTTGTGCACTAAAGCCCAAATTAGGGTTTTGGTCAAAGTCAGCTTGGTGTTGACTTTTTTAACCGAAATATAATCTCATGGCTTGGAACATGATTCAAGAGTTTCAAATACATATTTGTGGTTCATTCACACGATTCAACTGGCTCAAGAAGTTTGATCTATTGATGGTTGAAGAATTTTGATTCAATTGCTAAAAGTCAACAGATGCTCAAAGTCAAAGTTTGACTTTTGAAATTTTTGGTCAACCATGGACTTCTCAAGTCAAGAATCAAGAAAGTGTGGAAACTGATTGAGTTTGATCAAGTTAAATTAAGAAAATCAATAAAAGGTCAAAAGTTGTCAAAATTAGGGTTTAGAAAATTTCCCTAAGTACCAAAAATTCATGTTCAAGTGACCAACTTTCTAAGGCCATGGTGTTTGATTCAAGCATCCACTTGAAACACTTGAAGGATGAAGTTAAATATGATGTTTGATACTACAAGTTGATGAAAATTTGAAGCCAAAAAGCTTCCTTGAAGTGGAAGAAATTGATTGTGAAAGTTGAGGTTTCAAGTTGTTGCAAGTTTCAAAACACTTGGAATTTTTTAAAAAGTTTTTAGCCTTTCCAAGTGCATGACTTTATGGCCAAATTGTGAACAATCTAAGCAACCATTCTTGATGCTTGAGGGCTGCATTTAAAGAGCATACTTCCTACTCCATCATGGTGGAAAATTTGATCTAATAAACTTTTTCCAATTGAGAGAAACGGGAGGCAAAAGTTAAGGTTTCATGTTGGTGATTAATAGCAAGATACGCTCGATTTTACTAAGTGTTGGATCAGTTTGTTTGACACAATTTTGGAGTCATTTTTGAATACTTTCCAAGCCTTTCCCCAACCCGTTGTCAACATAAAACTTGTTCCTTTATATGTCAGCTTTACATTGATACCAATTTTGTGCAAGATTGACCTCTACAATGAGGACAAAACCTGCTCCAACTGCTGCACTTGAATTGTATTTTGGCATTATGTGGAAAAAGTGAATTTGATCAAAACTTGTTCAACAAGTTGTAGATTTGTTTCAGTTGAGTTCAGATATAAAAAACAAACTTATCCAACCCTAAAAATGAAAGCTCAAAGTGTCCATTACATGCCAAAATCCGAACCAAGCTTCCACGTACCATTTTTCTTTTTTGTCCAAATTGATCCAATGAGAAACTCTCAAGCTTGGCATTTGATACAAACCTTGACCCAACCATAAATGACACTTCTACATAAGCAAGCTTCAACTCATTACTTCTGCATCCAATATTTTACATAGAAATCACATACTTAAAAACTCATTTTTCACTCAAAATTTTTTCTTCGAATTTGTCATTTCTCTCAACCACTTTGAAACTTTTCTTCACAATCACCTTCCATACACCACACAGAGCCTACTGTATGCATTAGAACACACTGTAACCTCTAAAACGCCATATCCAACTTCACTTTCCTTCATTTGCACTTGGATTTGGGTGGAAGGTTTCAGGTCATTTCAAAACAAATTGAGCATACACACACGTTCCTGGAGGTGCAAGGAGGCTAGAAGGATCACTTTCATAATTCTGTAAGAGCTCTAGAAGGGGCAACAAACTCAATCCGTTAGGTAACTTGCTCACACTTGGTTCTCCTGCTTAGAGGCATCATTTTTGTTCATTCTTGTGCCATTCATGTTCTTTTGGTGTTATGGAATGAAGTTCCATGAAAATGGGCATTGATTGTTGATGTATGCGATGTAATTGAATTTTGAAGTTTTAGAGTTCCTCTGGTTTTTTAATTAAATCTGTGAGTTTTAGTGTGAATCAATGTGAGTTAACACCATGGTTGTGTTCCTTGTGAACATATGAGCAAAATGATATATTTACATGTCTTGTTTGGTGTGTATTTGTTGGAACCATTATTTAAAATTTTGAGATGATCGTGAGGTTGAAGACAACCTCATGCATGCTTTTTTTTCTTCATTTTAATTAATTCTTTTAATATTTATTATTTTCGAATATGATAACAACCAACAGATTGTGGTGTGGTGGTATAGTGGTTTTGTTGTAACTACAAGGTCTTGGGTTCAACATCTATAGGCCTCTTTTTTTCTCCTTTTTTCACCTTTTTTATTTCTTTCCTTCTTTTCTCTTTTATTTCTTTTCTTTTATTTATTTTATCTTCATTTTTTTTTTGCTTATTTAAAGTCCTAATTTTTAAAAATCTAAAAATATTTTATTTTATTAGTTTATTTTGTTATTTATTTTATGATCACATATTTTTTTGATTATCTTTAACAATTTTCTATTGCTTACTTCTTGATAAGTTTATGCTTGACCATCCTTTTACCATGCCTTATGACTAATGTCATGTTGATGCTATGCCTTGTTTGATGTTTTGTCTTGATAAATTTATGAGTATATGTATTGGTGATTAATTATCCTTTTGCCATGCCTTAGGGTTGAATCTCTTTATGAATCATGATCATGTTACTTGATGTCTGGCTTTATTGTTTGTTGTTTGCTTCTCTTGATGCTAGGCCTCTTGATACGTTTTAGTTTATTTTAGGGTTTGACTAAAAA